GAGTTGGGGGTTACCCAGGCCTGCAGGGAAGGGCAGTTTGGTGCAACCAGTCCTGTAGGGGAGGGCAGTTGGGGCAAACAAGGCCTGCAGAGGACTGCAGTTGGGAGAACCAGGCCTATAGGAAAAGCAGTAGGGGGCAAAGAGGCTGGAAGGAGTTATAGCCAATCTGGTCAGCCAGGTAGCAGGTAGGTGTCGATCAGGCTGGCAGGGGAGTGTTCACGGGGTGCTCAGGATGGCAGGGGAGTTGTTAGGGGGTGAACAAACTGGCTGGAAGAGGCAGTTAGGAGCAATCAGGCAAGCAGGCAGGTTAGCAGTTGGGAACCAGCATTTGTGTCTTGTGAGAGAACTGTTTCACTGCCCGTTTAGGCCAGATCACACAGGCAGTGGGGCATCCATGATACAATAGGATTGGGCCTGAACAGGGTGTTGGGGTTAAGATTGGAGCGGGTAAAGACTGGGCTGAGGGACACACACACACACACACACACACACACACAGTCATACACACACACACACACACACACACACACACTTAAACTGTTTGCAAATTTTTTGCACAGGGTCTCTAGTTATAAAGTAAAAGTGATTGTTCTGTCATTTAATGTTCTGGGGAAACAGGAACTGAAACTGCACATTTGGGTGTGAAATAACATCTAAAGTTATGTGGGTGGTAAAATGGCTGTAGCCGGGTGATTTGGGGTGTTCTAAGTTCAGCTAAGCCTCAACATCTAGTCTGAGGCCACAAACAAGTCATTGAGTAAACATGTAAACAAGCATCTGGCGCTAGGCATGCCCACCTGATAGCAGCCCCACTTGGGGCTGCTTCCACCCATGTTATACTGAATTTGAGCACATGATCTTCAACTTGCCTGGCATTGGCCTCTCCTTTATCCTCTGTCTCATCTCTTAAAAGCTCAGACACCTCAATTGTGCTCTATTGTAAAATCAAGCACCTGAACTTGGTACACTGCAGTTGTGGCTCAGCTAAGGTCACTAACAAGACCTTTACCTCCAGCAAGGTGGTGCAGCACCCCAGCCACTTCTGCAGTGGGAGGGCCTTAAGTGAATTCCCCTTCAGCTCGTGCAGAAGCTTAACTAGAACTTCCTGAGTCAAGCAGTGCAGTCTGTGATCCTGTGGGGAATGTTTCTCTGACCTGCCAGAGAAATGGGCATTTAGGAATCTACAGCTAACACAAATGAGGACAAGATAAAGCACAAAACCTCCCAGTAGATTCCCTACCTAGTGTCAGATAGCTCTCAGGAAGAGGCTGACTTCCCCCTCACTGACCCTGATCCCCCACTCTGCACAGACTCAAGTTTCCACAGCCCAGCGCCCAGGCTGCCTCCAATCCAGTGACTCATCCTCCAGCAGAGTGAGAGCGACCAGCTGACCAAACCATTTCAGAAGGGCTCATTGATTCTCATGACCCAAGGTGTTGTCAGACTCCTAATGAGTTTATAGACCTCTGTGGAAATATGACTCATTCTTCTTATCGCCACATATAGGTTTTGAGGTGAGCAGATGGTTCTGTGGAGGTGATAATCTGGCAAAGAAGGGGCATCTGGGCTGTAGTCACAGCAATTGAACCTCTTTAGCTGGTGGAGCGTGACAGAAGACAAGCTTGCCAGGATTTTGGCGGGAAAAGAGCATTTTGGGCTCATTTGTCTCAACAGGAGTTTCCTTAACTAAATGTTCAAGTGGCAGTGTTTGAGAGCTGTGATTCTACACTCTCAAAAGTTGCCTGGAGAAATCTGTCAGCCTCTAGAATGGCTATGTACTGTAGCAGCTCCACCCAGGGGGTCACAGGCAGTTCTTTACTAGATCTAGATAAAACAACAAACAAACAAACAACCCCCCCTCAAAAAAACAAACAAACATGTGGAGGAGACCACAGGGAAAGACATAGCCTTCCTAACTAATATCTGGAGGAGACCTGATGGCCGCCAGTTGGGTGAGTTTCCACATAGGACCTGGATAGGTTAGGGGCTTCCCAAGCAGAGGGGAGAAAGGAGAGGGAAGTGAAGAGGGCGGAAAGGAAGAAGAGAGCCGAGCTGGGAAAGGCCTGTGGTCAGACCAAGGACAGAGAGCCTAGCAAAGCTTGTTAGCCATCAAGGGCAAGGGAAACACTCGGGTCTGTGCTGCCCTGCACCTCGTGGACCCTGGCCAGGGGGACACCATTCCACTGACTGGCAGGTGGAACTGGGCTCTATCCTCGCTTGAGCCTATAGGCTACACACTTCAAATACCAGCACTGAGAATAGTGCCAGGCTACTTCCCACAAGCATGCCAAGGAGAAATCAGTCTGAGTGAACTTTTACAAGCATGAATGTTCATTAGAAACCTAAACAAGACAAACCTTGGGTCATTGGAAAATCAGTGTTTCCTCTGTAAGTCAGCAGCCATCACTGGTGTTGGCACACCTGAGACCTTACAGGTGCTTCAGTCCAAACGTCAGGTCTCAGATATTCTTCTCAAATGCTAGTGGTCGAACTAGTGTTCAACAATTGCTCATGTATGTGGGCCTGTTTATTAGCATAGACAACTGATACAGCAGGACAGCTGGCTGCCCTAGGTCCCCTTCAACAACCTTCAGCCACTCCCATAGCCTCAGAGAAGTTACACACCCTCACTCTCCACTGTGGGCCAGTCTCTCCAGTGCCTTTCTACTGGCAAGCCTGGAAAAGCGCTTCTGCTCAGATCCACTGGGTCTGTGCCTCCAGCCCTGTGGTTTCCAGGACAGATGGGGAATCTGTTGGGAGGAGGTGCTGGGCCACTCTACTGATGTCTCACTTTCTTATTGTTGTTCTCCTTGGCATTATTCTTCTTGATAAAGATGGCCATGGTTTCCCCTCTCTTTCTTGTTCTCTCAGCATCTGATCCACATTGTTATCATCATGCTTTTCATTTCTTCATTGCATCTTTCCACGTTTTGTTGCTGGTGCCGGCTCTGGACAAGCCACGTTCCCACTGAGCATCAAGAGCTTGTCTCCGAGTCTATCTCTGCTTCTCTCTTAGCTCTAAACTTTCCAGTTTCAAATTCCTCTTATGACCAGACTAATCTTGAAACATGGTTTCAGCATATTGAAATTCAGCTTCAAAAGTTATGGTTTCTTGAATTTCCACTGCTTTGGCTGTTTGTCAGTTAACACCAACCCAGTGCTAACCCAGAATACACCTGTGCAGCCCTCTTTCCCAAAGGCTGAGCACTTTGAGGTGGAGGCAGGTGGGAATCAGAAGAGTTGGTCTCTTGTTTCTTCCCTGGTGGAGAGGGGTCAGAAACCAGGCTCTAGTCTCCCAGTCTCTTTCATGGAGGTCACATACATGGATCAGAATCCTGATGTCTTGAACTTCATTTCTTTGATGGAGTAGATATTAGAAGTGGGATCACTGGACACACACACACACACAGAGAAAGAGAGAGAGAGAGAGAAGAAAGGAGAGTACTGCTAGCCTTGGACAGTAGGCACTAAGCTGGCATGACTTTCCCAAATCCAGTTGGGCAGCCTGGCTTGAAGGTGCTGGCATTTCCAGCTCCCATGCTCCAGGGTCAAACTCTATTGATGCCTCAACAGCTCGGGGGGGGGGGGGGGGGCAGGGTCCACAACTCAAATATATCATGTGATAAAAAGTCGTTTGTCCCCAAGAAAAGAGCTGGAAAAGCCCAGCTAGTTCTCACATCAGAACCCCGTCTTCCAGGGTGAACTATCTTTTGGCTGATGTTGGTGTGGATGGCTTCCTGGGGAAGTGAAAGTGACTCTGGTGCAAGTGATACACTCAGGCCTCTGTTTATTTGGGCCCGTGTACCTGCACATGTGTGGTGTGAACGTGTGTGTGTGTGTGTGTGTGTGTGTGTGTGTGTTGCTATTTGTGGCTCAGAATGAAGGACAACTTTGATTCCACTACCCTCACCAACATGGGCACTGACACCCTTGTGTTCAATCGAGCAACAAGCACTAGGCAAGAAGACCTTTCAGAAGGGAACACGAAGAGGTATCAGGATTTCTCACCAGCTCCACCACACTCACAAGGAACATTCAAAGTTCCTCAGGCAGAAAGAAAACTATCCCAGACAAAGCCAGTGAATAGAGTAAGAATAAAGGTGCCAAAGGAAAAGGTAGATTAAACTAAATAAACATGAACTGTTTTAAATAATATCTTGTGAAATTATCCTAGCCCACAATTACCAGAGAGGAACTCTAATTATCCTCTATTCCCCACTCTATACTCTGCTTCCCTTTTCCTCATAGACCTTACCATCACCTAGATTTGTTATGTATTTTTCTATTTATCTGCTTAATCTCACCGGAATTAATATATTGATACAAGAAAGCTGGCTGCATTTTGATAATTGCTGTAGCCTCAGATTCTTCCTTCCTTCCTTCCTTCCTTCCTTCCTTCCTTCCTTCCTTCCTTTCTTTCTTTCTTTCTTTTAAAATACATTTTATTGATTTTTTTTATAGAGAGGCAGGGAGAGGGATAGAGAGTTAGAAACATTAACCAGCTGCCTCCTGCACACTCCCCAGTGGGAATGTGCCCGGAACCTGGGACCCTTCAGTCTGCAGGCCCACGCTCTATCCACTGGGCCAAACCAGTTAGAGCTAGCCTCAGATTCTGAGACAATGCATGGCAGATCATAGGCACTAAGAAGACGGTGAATGAATGAATGAGTGAATGAATGAATGAGTGAGTGAGTGAGTGAGTGAGTGAGTGACAGAAGGGGCTTCCTCTCCGGAGTGAGTGAGTGAGTGAGTGAGTGAGGGGGTGAGTGAGTGAATGACAGAAGGGGCTTCCTCTCCGGAAGAAGTGGCGGTCCACGCAGTCTCTTGGGCCGCTGTCAGGAAACACTGCAGATCCACTGGGGTGGTCCCTACCCCTAGGTCTGGAGAGTCCGGGCTCCATAACATCCAGGTTCCGGGTTTTCGCACGCCCCACAATCCTGGAGCCGGCGGGCTCCTCGCGGCCCCGGTGGGCGGAGCGGGCGGCGGAGCGGGTGGAGCCGCGGGAGGACCGGGGGCGCTGGGCGGGTAGCGGGGTGGCAGGGCTGCCGGGCGGCCGCCGTGGGTGGGCCGTACCCCGGGCTGCACTGGGGCCTGCGCGGAGGCCACCGGTGGCGGGGGCAACTGCGGGGGCGCGCCCGAGGCTGGGGCGCCGGGGGAGGTCGGGCTGCGGCCCAGGAGGGGGCCCGGGAGGACCTGGCCGCCGCCCCGGCACTGAAGCGCCTCCTCCGCGATGTGTCCCCGCCTCGGTGTGCGGGAAGCGGGCTCAGGGAGCCTCTCCCTCGGCGGCGCCCAGAGCCCGGCTCTCAGGGGTGCGGCGGGGACAGGCCGCGTTGGCTGATGTGATCCGGAGCAGCAGACCCGCCCTGGGCCCTTCTCCTTGGGAATTTGAAGAAGACCCACTTTCAGTCCAGAGGCCGACGGGAGCGTTGGGCGCCTTTTGCAGAAGGATTGTTTTGCTTGGGAATGTGGTGTGTCTGTAGAAGGCTGGGAAGGAACGAAATCTGTTACCATTTCCTCCACCAAACAGACACCCTCTGGAGCTGAAAGCCTCAGGCGCGAGCGCTCTCACGCCCCCATCTCCGGTCCTGCCGGCGTCCGAGGCGGATCCGGTGAGTAGGAGGCCGCCCTGCCCGTCCTCAGCCCGAGGGAGGCGGGTCTGGGAGGAGTGAGAAAGGGCATCTTCTGAAAGAAGCTTCTCTGTCATTGACTGCTTCATAAATTTGTCCACTTTGGTAACAAGACATTTACTATATATATATATATTCAGAAGCAGGCTATTGCCCACATGCTCCAATCCGCCTGATGCAGCCCCTTTCTCTGCACCAGTCACTGCTGAAAACAAGAGATGCTCATTCACCACAGACCCTTCCCCCACAAACTTCAAAAAGTTGGGTCGGCTTCCTTTCCAGGGAGCTAGGACTGATTTTGGGGTTCCAGGTACACTGGACCTGATCGCCTTGGAGCGATCTACCTGCTCAAATGACAGGGGCGGGGTGAGAGCGAGGGCGTATTTGAGTTTTGTTCTGTTTTTCCAAAATTGCCTGTTACAAACACTTCTGCAGTAGTCCTCAGTTGTACTCCAAGTACTACTGCATTTCCTCCATTTGTAGGCATACTCCTTTCCCCAAATTGTAACAGTTTTGAAACCAGGATACATCTTAACAGAGAGTTTAAAAGGACTTGCTAGCTGCTAGGCATCTATGTGGGTGTGGCTGTCACTACTTGCCCATGTGAAAATGCAGCTATATGATTATTCCATCATTTGAAATACTTGACATTAACTTTGAATTGAGATTTATTAATTGGTGTTTGTTTTTTGTTTTTAAGTAACTTTAGGAGGCCTTGGCCCAGTAGGTCACTTGGTTAAAGCATCATCCCGCTATGCCAAGTTTGTGGGTTCCTTCCTCAGTGGTAGAACAAACAATCTCTCTTTCTCTCTCTCAAAAAAAAAAAAAAAAAAAAAAAAAGAAAAAAGAAAAAGAAAAAGAAAAAGAAAAAAGAAAAAAAAATAACTTAAAAAGATAATGCTCTGCTTCAGCATTAAAGCAAAAGGTTTATAATAATGTTTACTAAAGGTTTATTGTTTGCCCGACATTATCTCAATTAATCAACTTTTCAATACTATGAAATACAATTAATATTTTATAGATGAAGAAACTGAAGCTCAGCTGAAGTGCCTTAGAGCTTTTAAGCGCAAGAGTCAGGATTCTAACCCAGGCTGTCTGATTTCAAATCTATATCCGGGCAGAAGATGCATGTGGCTTTGAAGAGGGGAAGTCAGGGCAGGATCTGTGCATGTCTGTGTACCTTTGGCTATTTGTGTGTGTGTGTATGGAGAACCGGGAGACAGCCACGTCCAAGAGCATTGATTATACTTCTTCCCACATAGATGCCAACTCTTTGTTTTTGGATCTTTTGCAGTTCTAAATATATTTCTGCAAGTTCTGGAATTCTGGCTGTATGAGGGTGCTCCTGGGTCCCTCCTCTCCTGCCTGTGTTTCTCTCAAAGAAGATAGAGGCTTACACTCAACCAGCTGCCCCCAGGGAGGCTGTACCTAAGAGAGGAGCCGGTGTTTCAGAGTTGTCCAAGTCACATTAGCCTCTCTGAGTCCCAGGTTCTGGGGCTGCAGGAACATGCCAAAGCCTTGAGGGCAGGGACTGTGACCAAAGGAGGACCACACAACTGTGCAGCCTCTCAGCAGAGGTTCTGGCCGTTTCCTCACAGGAAGTGGACAAGCTCAATCAGGTGGACATCGCTATGCTGCAGCAGCTCTTGATCACCTTGCCCGCTGAGGCCAGCACCTGGGTGAAGTTGCACCATCCAAAGAAGGCCAAGGAGGGGGTGCCCCTTTGGGAGGAGGTGACGAAGATGTTTGAAGGAGAAGGTAAGAATAGACTGATGAAGGGGGAATGGATGAGGAGCTAGGAGATCTCATCTGTGTGTCAAAAGATAGGTACACTTTATTGTTCTGGTCTCGGGGAGAACCTGGCGGGAAGCAGGTCTCTGAGGATCATGCTTGTGGCTTTTGGGAAAGGGATAGCTGTGAGAGTTCTGGAGTTCTGGCTGTGGGATTGTTGCTTCCGGATCCCTCCTCTCCTGCCTTGCTGTTCCTCTTAAACAGTGGTTCTCAACTTTTCTAATGTCTCGACCCTTTAATACAGTTCCGCATGTTGTGGTCTTAGGCTCTACAGCAACGGTTCTCAACCTGACCATCAGAAAACACAGATATTTACATTACGATTCATAACAGTAGCAAAATTACAGCTATGAAGTAGCAACGAAAATAATTTTATGGTTGGGGGTCACCACAACATGAGGAACTGTATTAAAGGGTCACGGCATTAGGAAGGTTGAGAACCACTGCTCTAGACCCGTGGTCGGCAAACTGCTGCTTGCAAGCCACATGCAGCTCTTTGGCCCCTTGAGTGTGGCTCTTTAACAAAATACCACGGTCTGGGCAAGTCTATTTTGAAGAAGTGGTGTTAGAAGAAGTTTAAGTTTAAAAAATTTGGCTCTCAAAAGAAATTTCAGTCATTGTACTGTTGATATTTGGCTCTGTTGACTAATGAGTTTGCCAACCACTGGTCTAGAAGAATAGAGAGGCACGCACTCAAACGTACTCAACCAGCTGTCTCACAAGCAGGCAGTACTTAACTATTGTGCTCTCAGCACAGGCTCTTGGTGACATGTGCTCCGTGCTGCTCCCATCTCCTGTCCTCAGTACTACACAGGACAGGAAAACAGAACATAAGATTGTCCCCACCAGCGACTTTTGAGTGTGGACAGCAAAGTCAAAGCTTTTTGCACCCTTAAGCCTTCCCAATGGTTTTTCTTCACAAGTTTCAGTCATTTTAGCTTCAAACCAATATCAGTTTTTGCTTTTCATCTGCTGAGAAGGAAGAATTACATGCTTGATTACTCTTATTTTACCTTGAAATACAGGTTCATTGGGAAATATGTCCAAAATTACACATTAGTTAGTGGTCAGGTCAGGATAGATAGATGGATAGAGAAATTTGTGTGTTTCATGTAATCTCTTAATCCATACCTTTAACACTGTAGCTTCAGTCAATATTTATTGTATTTTAGCTGTGTCAGGCAGGAACTTTGCTAAGCACCTTGACAGATGGAAAAAAGAATAATGATCTCTAATGCTAAATATTTTTTAAAATATATTTTTATTGATTTCAGAGAGGAAAGTAAAGGGAGAGAGAGAATTGTTGATCAGCTGCCTCCTGCATGTCCCATACTAGGGATTGAGCTCTCAACCCGGGTATGTGCCCTTGACTGGCATCGAACCTAGGCCCCTTCAGGTTCAATCAATCCACTGAGCCAAACCAGCTAGGGCACTAATTATTAATTGATGGAGACAGACACATACCCAGATCACATACCCATAATAGAAGGTAATCTAGGAAAATGCTATGATAAAGTTTTTTTGGAAGACAAGAAATAGAAAACATTTTTTCCACTTGTGCTTATCTGAGAAATTTTCACAAAGCAGATAGCATTGAATTGGGCCTTGAAAGATGTCTACGTTTTTTTGTAAAGTGTCAGAGAAAGGAGACAATTATAGTCTGAGATTGGTGTTCAAGACCAACAGACAGAGGATGGTGATTAGAGGAAACTAGTGCTGGAAAGACATGCTTCAGGTGGGCTGTAGAATACCTGCAAGTCCATGGGAAATGAACAAAGGAGTAGCTCAGTAGATCTGTGCTTATGGACCAGCATTGACCATTGGGAAACACAAATACCCAAAAGAACACACTGCAGATGCTCCTCATTATGGAGCCTCCAGTATGATTGAGTCAGACCAATGTCCCTCTTTGTGAATGTATTGTGAGAGGAGCCATATTCAGCAGCTCTGCAGGCAGTTTTGGGGACTTTTGGGGAGTGCAAACTTTATGACTCTTTTCCTTCCTCAGCTGTGCTATCTCAGGGTGCTGATGAGATGCAGGGAGAAAGTTTAAAGGATGAAGGGACTTCTGGGGCCCAGACAGCAGAATTCCAGGTGGGTTGGCATTTTCTCTCATTTTTTTTTTTTTTTTTTTGTTTTTTGTTTTTAAGGGCATAACACCCCTTTTCTTGGAGTGGGAGGTTGTTGAGGTTAATGAATTCAACCTAGGGAGCTCAGAGAATATTGCTTTTGTACAGAAAATGGCAATGGTGGTAGCCATTTATTTGCTCATAGAAGTTATACTTTCCTCCATGTAACTCTAACATTGTGTTGCTAATTTCTAAGATAATCCTCATTTTTTAATTTATTTTTTTAGTATTTATAACTGAAAAACAAACTTTGTAAATGAGAAGAAAGTTCTGACATTCTTTTATTATTTATATATATTTAATATATATTTTTATTGATTACAGAGAGGAAGGGAGGAGAGAGAAACATCAATGATGAGAGAGAATCATTGAATGGCTGCCTCCAGCACACTGGGGATTGAACCTGCAACCTGGGCATGTGCCCTAACTGGGAATTGAACTGATCTCTGGTTCATAGGTCTGTGTTCAACCACTGAGCCAGACAGACCAGGCTGACATTCTTAATGTTGTACACATATCACGTGTGAACTTAATGAGGTGACTCTTAGTGTATTGCGAGCAGAAATCAAACTGCAGCCAAAGAATCAAGAAGAGAAGAAATGTCTGGCCACAGATGCACACGTTAGCTGGGGAGTTACAACAGGGTGTCAGAATGGGTGTCCTCTCCTCCTGGTGGAAGGAGAGGTGAGACAGAGGAAATTGTTGAATAAACAGAAAAGGAAGATCAGTAAAGAGCAGATGTTACTCGAGAACATAAGAGTTTTAAGTGTACAGAACTTGGATTCTAAAATTAGTTGGTACAAGATTTGAACTTAATTCGTGAATTTACTTGCTTGGTGATCTGTAGCAATATTTTTTAGCTCTTTAAAATCCCTGTTTCCTCAGCTAATTCAGATACTAATATTTTATAGGATTGAAATGCATCCCAGAGTTAGAGAAATGTGGAAATAATAATAGTCTAATAATTTAAGGGGCTATCTCTGCATTCCACTTTTTAGAATTCCTCACTTCCTGACACTTATTGAAACTGATGGGATTTAAACTTAGCTCTGGGAAAAGATTAAAATAAAATAAACAGAATGCATTATCCTGGCCAGTTTTCTCAGTGGTTAGAACATTAGCTTTGATGTTTCTCTCTCCTCCCTTCCTCTCTGTAATCAATAAAAATATACACAATCATTGATATGATAGATTTAAGTGCATATTCTTATTCTTTGTTTGCTGTTTGTCCCATCTATTCTTTGTTCCTTCTCTTCTGCTGTCTTTTGGATTAAATCGCATTTTATTGGGGTTTTTTTTTGTATTTTATTTTGTGTCCCTAATGACTTTTTAGCTATTCTTCTTTGGTTTGTTTTTAGTGGTTGCTCTAGCCACTAATATGAAATTTTAAACACATCACAGCTGCTTTTAATTAATATTATACAGTTTCACATATAATATGAAAGTCTTACATTTCCATTTATTCTCTCCCATTCTTTGTGTATTATCTCAATACATTTCACTTTACATGTTATAAATCCCACAACACATTGTTCTTATTTTAATTTTTAATAGTAAATTGTGTCATACAAATTAGGAAAGTTAAGAAAAGAAAATGAGCCTTTCATATGTAGACACATATTTACCAATTCTGGAACTGTTTTTAAAAAAATGTTTTTACTTTATTTTTCAAACATTTTTATTGAATTCAGAGAGGAATGGATAGGGAGAGAGAGATAGAAACATCAGTGATGAGAGAGAATCATTGATTGACTGCCTTCTGCCCATCTCACACTGGGGATTGAACCACAACCGAAGTATATACCCTCGCTGGGAATCGAACCATGACTGCCTAGTTCATAGGTCAGTGTTCACCATGGAGCCATGTTTGGCTGGGCAAAAGCCATGTATTTTATATTCTAGGAACTGTTGACCTTCAAGGACATAACTGTGAACTTCACCCAAGAGGAGTGGGGTCAACTTACCCCTGCTCATCAGAATCTGTACCGAGAGGTGATGCTGGAGAACTACAGGAACTTGGTCTCAGTGGGTAAGGATGGGCTGTTTATCCAGAAACTGCTCATTACACAAGAACCATTATTTCTAAATTGTTAAATGTCATGGATTCCCTGGATCTTCGCTTTGGGTTCTCTCTTATTCCTGTGAAAATCAAGTCAGGCTATATCTGATTCTCCTTCTTTTACTTTGTAGAACTAAAATAGAAAAACATGCAGAGGTGCTCCTTTCCTAGGACTAAAACTAATTCTGGGAATGGTTCTTAGACCTCAACATAAGCATTCATACTTTTTTTTTTTTTTTTTTTTTTTTTACTGCATAAGCAGGATATGAATTTTCCAAACCTAGGGTGATTTCTCAGTTGGAGAAAGGAGAAGAGCCATGGATAACAGAGAAAGAAGGCCCGGGACATCCCAATACAGGTGAGCCAAGGCAGGTGGTACCTTTCCATATATAAATAGCATACTTTAAAAAATTATGTTTTCTGTTTGTTCCAGGTATAATAATACAGTTGATTTTGTATATTGATCTTATAGCCAACCACCTTGTTTCATTGTGTTTGTTTGTACATTCTCTTGGGTTTTCTTTTTCAACTCATAATAATGATAAGAATAATAAGAATTGCAATTTCCCTACCTGTGGGTAAAATCTCAAAGAGTTCCCATAAATGGTCTAGTCCCTTTAAGTAATAGTCTGATTTTAGAAAAATGTTTAGTTCAGTGAAACTTCATTCAAAGTTAAATCTTTTCTTCTTCCCTAGCATGGGCTGCTTCAGGCCTGGATACTGAATTGGGGAGGGGGATATAGATGGCTTCTCTGTCTTTCCCTGACTTCTCTTCCCCACTATTCAAGACCAGAATTGGGGACTTACAGAATGTAGACTCTATTCTTGCATCTATTCATTTAGAATTTAGAAATACTAATGATCTTTACAAGAAGTTATACCTTTTAGGAATACAAAGCTGTCAGTTGAGGTATTAATAATGGATACAACAAATTATCAAGTAAGAAAACCAGTCAAAATTTTATTATTTTTACTTTATTTTTTGTTGTTGTTAATCCCTACCTAAGGATATCTTTTCTATTGATTTTGAGAGAGAGAGAGAGAGAGAGAGAGAGAGAGAGAGAGAGAGAGAGAGATTGAGAAACATTGTTGTGAGAGAGACACATCAACTGGTTACTGGTTGCTTTCTACAGGCCCCCTGAATCAAGCCTGCAAATGAGGTATGTGCCCTTGACCAGAATCAAACCCTTCAGTCCATGGGCCAAGAAAATCAGTCAAAATTTTAAAGGTTAAAGGATATTTTCATAGGACATTGTAATAGCAGCAATATATTCTGGGTTTCTTACAAGTCTTCTTTGTATAAATAACACTTCCAGGAACAAATTAATAAGCACAGGAAATAGAATAGTGTGTAAGTTTTTTTTTGTTTTTTTTTAAAAATATATTTTATTCATTTTTTGCAGAGAGGAAGAGAGAGGGATAGAGAGTTAGAAACATCGATGAGAGAGAGTCATCGATCAGCTGCCTCTGCACACTCCCTACTGGGGATGTGCCCGCAACCAAGGTACATGCCCTTGACCGGAATCAAACCTGGGACCTTTCAGTCCGCAGGCTGATGCTCTATCCACTGAGCCAAACCGGTTTCGGCACAATATGTAAGTTTTAATAAAAGACACCTCAGTGTTCTTGTGAATTTTCTTAGTTCTAACATTATTTTTTGAATTAGTGTCTCTGGCTGCTGCTGGAGTGGGGGAAGGAACATCTTTTTGATTTTTCTGAGATGGTTTTCTTAAAGTAGTTGTCAATTAAAAGACAGCTCAGAAATTTCATTACTTAATATTATTAGAGCAGGACTAAATTGCTCAAACTTTACTCTTTTTATAAAATTATACTTTTACTGTTTACTGATTCTTAATTTAATTTCCCATTACCTCTCCAGGACGCATAACCATATTTAAATATAATGAAAATCTCATGCACTTTATATGTATTGTTATCTGAATCTCTATAGTAATAGAGTTTTCAAAGCATAAAGTATTTGAGTTATTTGTATTTTTTCCATTTCTTTCAGACATGAAGAGTAAAACAGAAACCAGTACATCAACTGCAAAGAATGACATTTTACAGGAACAGTTATATCAAGGCATTATGATGGAAAGGTTCGTGAGGGATGATGTAATTGATTCCACATTGCGAAAAGTCTCCAAATATGATGAGTTAGAAAGGCATCAGGACACCAATGGAAGAAATGTAAGACAAGCCATCTTGCTCCACAAAAAGAGAGGCCAAGAAACTAACAAATTTGGGGAAAATATTATGAATTCAAATGTTGTTATAGAACAGAGGTACTGTAAATATGACACACTGAGAAAGAGGAACAAATACAAATTAGATCTGATTAGTCATCCAACAAGTTACATAAGAACAAAAACCCATGAATGTAATATATGTGAAAAAATCTTCAAGCAACCCATTCATCTTACTGAACACATGAGAATTCATACTGGTGAGAAACCTTTCAGATGTAAGGAATGTGGAAGGGCCTTTAGTCAAAGTGCTTCTCTTAATACCCACCAGAGAATCCATACTGGTGAGAAACCTTTTGAATGTGAAGAATGTGGCAAAACCTTCAGACATCGCTCCTCTCTTAATCAGCACCACAGAACTCACACTGGAGAGAAACCTTATGTATGTGACAAATGTCAGAAAGCTTTCAGCCAGAACATTAGCTTGATCCAACATTTGAGAACTCATTCTGGAGAGAAACCCTTTACGTGCAATGAATGTGGGAAAACCTTTCGACAAATTAGACACCTAAGTGAACATATAAGAATTCATACTGGAGAGAAGCCCTATGCATGCACTGCATGTTGTAAAACCTTTAGTCATAGAGCGTATCTAACACATCATCAGAGAATCCATACTGGGGAGAGACCTTACAAATGTAAAGAATGTGGGAAAGCCTTTAGGCAGAGGATCCACCTTAGCAACCATAAAATTGTTCATACAGGAGTGAAAGCATATGAATGCACACGGTGTGGAAAAGCCTATAGACATGATTCATCCTTTAAGAAACATCAGAGACATCACACTGGAGAAAAACCTTATGAATGTAATGAATGTGGAAAAGCCTTCAGCTATAATTCATCACTTACTCGGCACCATGAAATACACAGGAGGACTGCCTTCAGAAATAATGTGTAAAAATAAATTATAAAAAAAATTATCCAACATGAGAACAAAAGCCAAGTTTAAGTCAGTGATTCTATGCTTTTTAATTTCAGAACTCTAAATATTTATTGATATAATGATGTCAACTTCTAATTTTGCCCATTGTGTAAATAAACACTTCATTGATAACTATCTATACTTCCATACAAAGTACTTAAAAATAAAGGATGGTCCTTCCAATTAAATTCAGCAATATGAAAAAAGTAACACTTTATTATTTTTCTGACTTCATGATTGATTAATAAATTATTATGCATGGGCATTCAGTGATTTACAAACCAGTATATGGGAACTACTGTTTAAAATATCACCACCTCATATTTTAAATTAAAATTTAATTTTTAATTTTTTGTTAATCCTCACCTAAGGATATTTTATCCATTGTTTATGGAGAGAATGGAAGAGAGAGGGAGAGACAAAGAGAGAAACATCATAGTGAGAGAGACACATCTATTGGTTGCCTCCAACATGCTCCTGAGATAAGGGAGGAGGGGCAGGGATCAGCCTGCAACTAGCTCATGTAATCCAGGGCCTGCAATACATTCTAATATTGGACTGGGATGAGTACTTTGGAAAACCCAGGCAGTTTTCTCTCCATTTTTTACCTCTGCTTCTTGTGTCTTCATTCTGGCTTTTGTTTGTTTGTTTGTTTTTAAAAGAAATCATCTCATTTCAAATCACGACTACCAGCAACTCCAGATTTTACATATACAGGCAGTCCTTGGGTTACATAGGACTCAAATTGTTTTGTGGTTACATTGTCATTTCCCATTTATAGTATTTATTTTTTTTAAAAGTTCCATCATTTCCGCCGAGACCGGTTTGGCTCAATGGATAGAGCATCAGCTTGGGGACTGAAGGATCCCGGGTTTGATTCCGGTCAAGGGCATGTACCTTGGTTGCGGGCATATCCCCTGTAGGGGGTGTGCAAGAGGCAGCTGATCGATGACTCTCATTGATGTTTCTAACTATCTCCCTCTCTGTACAAAATCAATAAAAAAATAAATAAAAAAGTTCCATCATTTTGACGTATGTACATATGTGCTCTATGTTTTTTATTATTTACCACAAGGTCAGGAATTATCTTTTCAATTTTTTATTTTTTTTTTTTACTGTTTCACTTCATTACTGCTGTGTAAGTGCTCCATGTGAGTGACGTAGGTGCTAATGTAGGTGGGTTCCATCTTACTGTGAAAATCACTCGGTAGGAATGAATCTCCGAGGTAACCTAAGGACTGCCTATATTCAGGTTCTATCACCCAGAATAAAGCTGCCTTCTCTTTCTTATTTCTTATCTCAAAATCCTGAGGAAGGCTTCTTATTGGCCCAGCTAGGTCTGTGCCCACCTCTACTACAGTCAATTGTAGGCTTAAAACTCAGCTTCTATGAGAATCATGTAGCTGGTATGGTGGTGGGAAGGAGGATTTAGAGGGGTGGGGAAAAAGAGAGTTACTGTTCATAGAACTCCAAATTTTACCCATTCTTCAATGCCAATTCACCAGCTCAAAAATTTAGAACTGGAAAAGATTTAGGAATTCACCTAATGGAAACTTCACTTTATAGATGAAGAAAAGGAGAATCTTCTTTAATTACTCATGTCTTTTTACTTGAGTCAAACCTGAGTTTGAGTTTTTTCCCTCTTAAGTTTGTTAGCCTAGCTTTTAAACACCTATTATTAATGGCTGAACATAGCTGAGCTACTCTTTGTCATTCTAAAAGATTTACTTAGGTCTGCTGCCCAGGAAGTCTGCATAAGTTATATTTCAGAGCCTGCCCATTGCCTTTGCCTTTTATCATTTACTCTATTTATCTCATAGGAACTTCTCCCTCCATTGATCATGGGGTTGTTCTTTCCTCAGAGCTGTGTCCTTAGACATATTCTCCTCTTAAGTTACGAATTTTGATTTTAACACCCAACACTTCTGACATCTATATTTTAGAAATACTTCCTGAACTCCAGAACATTATATTCAACATCCCACTGGATATCTTCACTTGAATATCCCATAGTACTCTCACTTGTTTTTTTTTAAATAAAGTCTGTATTCCTTAATCCAGGAAGTGGGACCACTACCTACTTAATACTCCTGTTTAAACTTTTTCCTCTCCATTCATTACTTCTCCAATGTCAGCAGGTCCTATATATTGAATTGAGGACTTAAAAGTCTCTACTCCATTCCCATTGTCAGTACTTAGACTTGTAGTACTTCCTAAATGCTTATATTTCCAATTGGTTTCTCTACATCTAGTCTGGAGTCATCTATCCTTCCCACTGCTGCTAGAGTGATCATTATAAAGCACGTATCTAATCAAACCACATCATTGTTTAAAATTCCTCAGTGTCTTCTGAAGCATACTCAAGAAAGCATACTTTGCTTCAGCTATAAAGACCTTATGGCTGTCGAGCTCAACCTATGAAACAAGAAGTCACAGTTCAATTCCTGGTCAATAAAAACTGCAAAGAAAAGCGAAGAAGTGATGCCTTAATAGGCTTGTGGTTTCTCAGGAAGGAGGCATGGGAGTGCATTTGAGAAGGGTCCAAAACTTTCATTTTTTGCTGTAATCATAGAGATACCATGTCTGCTCAATAATTATTACACTTACCATTACTTTACATTTTAAAATATAATTGTGTTACAGTTTCCAATAGAAAAGGTTAATTAAAAATTAAGTAGAAAAGAGAACTACATTGGTGAGACAAGGGCCAGCATCTTTACAAAGCGAGTTCGTGGTTGTTCTCTCCGCTGGGAAAGCTGGTGCGAGGTGCAGAGGGGGACGGAGCATTCAAGGCGGCCAAGCAAAGGCGCATCACTTAACGGACTGAGGCTCTGTGCCAGGGAGAAAGGAACATGCCCAGACCTTTCCCGGGCACCGGCTCGACAGTCGCCCGGAAACCCCCGCCAGAGGGGGCGCTTCTAGGTCAAGTGACAGCGCAGCTCCGTCACCGACCAATTCAACCACACGCGCGGCCAGCGGCGCGCCGGTGGGACCCGCCCCACGGGGACCGCGCCCTGGGGATCTCCACTCGGCACCGCAGCGGGAGGGCCTCCGGGAGGGGGCGGGCCCTGGGCAGTCTCGCGAGAACGAGGCCGGGGCGGCGCCGCTGAGGCCGCCGGGAGGGGGCGGGCCCTGGGCAGCCGCGGGGCATTCGGAGCCGGACTCCGGGTCGCTTTGTGTGGAGCCGGGAAGGACCGGGCTGCTGCTTCACCTGCTCTTGCTAGCCGAGCGTGGAGCCCGGGAGCAGATCCGAGGCCGCAGCGGAGCCGAGTGGAGCCCGGGATTCGCAGGAGGGCCCGAGGTGAGGCGCAGGCCGGCGGATGGGGGTGTCGGGCCGAGGGCTGCGTTTGGAGCTCAGGGGTCTGTCCCCGCGGGTGCCACACCCCTCACCCACCTCCCCGGGTGGCAGCGGCTCCCGGGAAGCGGGTTGTCTCACCTGCCCGCGCCGGCCAGGCTTCGGTGGGCTCTGGACCTTTCCCTTTGGGAAGCTCCTGCGATCCGCAGGGACCCCTTCCGGAGGGGCTGTCATCCCTAGCTCCTCCAGGACGTTGTAGGAAGCGCTCGGAAATCGTTAGGGCATGCATGGGCCTCGGGGAGACCGTGGTTGGGACCAATGGGAAGGTACCTCCTGGAGGCAAACGTTCTCAGAGCCCGTAAGTCCGGGCTGCTCCAGACAAGTAGGGTGCTAGGGTGAAGGCAGGGGCAGTTCTGCAAGCAGCACGAACCCAGAGAACGCTCTGTGAGGTCTCTGCCCGAGTGTCCGGACTGAGCTTGAGGCTTTGTGTCTGAGTAGATCTATTTACATCAATAGTCTTTAAATTTTAATCCTGCAAACTACATTTAAAAACAGTCATTGGAGAGCTGATTTTACTCAGAAACAGTTTGTAATTGACATTTATTTGCGTAGTCAAGGATTTTTGTATTGATGGAATTATAGAAGTGATCCATAGTAAACTTTCAAACATCGTTCCAACATTACAAAGATCTGTATTCACTTAAAATAATGAAATAATGTCCCAAGTCAGTAGAATTTTTTTTAAAGAATAGTTTATAGCCAGGCCAGTGTGGTTCAGTGGTTGAGCATTGACCTATGAACCAGGAAGTTGGGGCACATGCTTGGGTTGCGTGCTCAATCCCCAGTAGGGGGTGTGCAAGAGGCAGCTGATCAATGATTTTCATCATTGATGTTTCTCTCCCTTCCTCTTTGAAATCAATAAAAATAGATTGGGGGGAAAAAGAATAGTGTATTGATTTTTAGAGAGAGACAAAGGAAGAGGGAGAGACAGAGAAATATCGATGTGAGAAATAACATTGATTGGCTGCCTTTCACATGCCTCCTACTGGGAATCAAGCCTGAAATCTGGGCATGTGCTCTGACCTGGAAACAACTGGCAACCTGGTGCAGGGACGACGTCCAACCAACTGTGCTACACCAGCTAGGGCTCAAGTCAGTAGAATTTTGAAGTAGAAAAGACAAAACTCAAATCTTTTTTTTTAATTTAATTTAAATTCTTTGTTGTTGAGAGCATTACATTTGTCTCCCTTTTCCTCTGTTGATCCCTCTCCACCCACTCAAACTCAGATCTTTTAAGTGAAGAAATTGAGGCCAAAGAAAGTAATTTGCTTAAAATCACACATAATGTGTTAGTGCCAGTTTCTAGAGTAAAACCATTTTTCACCTAAAAAAATTTTTAAGTGTTCATATGTGGATGATACAAGGAGCCCTATTGTAAATTGTACCTGTACTACAACTCTCTAGCATTACTATTTGATTGCAAACAAATAGGTTTCTTTAAGGAATGTAAATAAATAGTTATAATTCTGTTTATTTATTTGGATAATGCATTTTTTTTTAACATGATGTGCGGGGTGTAGTCCAATCCAGAGCTGTGCCATGGCCGAGACTGAGGAAGAGGAGAAGGTGTCAACAGAAGCCTCAGGGTTCTCGGATTTGAGTGACTCAGAATTTCTGGATCTGGAGGATACCCAAGAGTTGAGTGATTCACTTAGCAAGCCCGGCCCTTCTTCTGAACTCACCGGGAAGGATGGCAAGCTCATAAGTTTTCCAAAGTGGAAAAAGGGATTGGATGTCTTACCACCCATGGAGCGATTCCACCTTAAATATTTGTATGTGACTGACCTGTCTACTCAAAACTGGTGTGAACAGCAAATGGTATATGGAAAAGAACTTCCTGATTCCTTGGAACCTGAGAAGGCAGCTATTTTGGACACTGGTGCCAGTATCCACCTAGCTAGAGAACTAGAACTTCATGATCTTGTGACTATCTCTACCACCAGTAAAGAAGACGCGTGGGCAGTTAAGTTTCTGAATATGTTATCAATGATTCCTACCCTGCAGTCAGAAGGGCGCATCAGAGAGTTTCCAGTGTTCGGAGAAGTGGAGGGTGTGCTTCTTGTTGGAGTGATTGATGAGCTGCACTATACACCCAAGGGGGAACTGGAACTGGTTGAACTCAAGACACGCAGACGCCCTATGCTTCCTCTGGATGCTCAGAAAAGAAAAGACTGTTTGCAAGTCAGCCTATACAAGTATATCTTTGATGCCATGGTACAAGGGAAAGTGACCAGTGCTAGCCTAATCCATCACACAAAATTGCATCCAGAAAAGCCCCTGGGACCTTCAGTGTTGAGGCATGCTCAGCAGGGAGGCTTCTCTGTGACGTCCTTGGGTGACCTCATGGAGCTGGTCATCTTGTCTCTAACATTGTCTGACCTTCCAGTCATTGATATTCTGAAGATTGAGTATATGCACCAAGAGACTGCCACTGTGCTGGGTTCAGAGATTGTGGCCTTTGAAGAGAAGGAGCTGAGAAGCAAAGTGCAGCACTATATGGCTTACTGGGTGGGCCACCGAGAGCCTCAAGGAGTTGATGTGGAGGAGGCTTGGAAATGCCGGACATGCAGCTATGCAGATATCTGTGAGTGGAGGAAGGGTGGTGGGGCGCACAGCTCTTCGCTAGAGCCCCAAGCCAAAAAAGCCAGATGAACAGAAGGTATGCCTTAAGGAACTCTCATTCTTCCAGTCCTTGATGTACTCACAAAGTAAAAGGGGGGAAAAAAAGAAGAAGAAGAAAAAAGTAAAAGGAGGCCAGTCTTTGGCTTTTATATTTTCTCAACCTCTAACCACTCAAATCTAGGACCACTGCTTGGGTGAGTGGGAGAGATCTGGGATTATACTGTACCTGGAGCTTCACCATAGATTACCAAGAAGACAGATGCTCATCATGGCTGGAACAACAGTATCCTTCAGCAATCATTGCTTTCCTAAGAAGATTCTTCAGTTTCTATTAAGTCTCTTCCCTATTTTTTCTCAATCAAGGCTTTCTGCATTTTATATAATAAAATAAAACACTGTCCAGATTGGTTAACTGATGGGTAATTTGGTGGGGGTTTTTTTTTTTTTTTTTTTTTTCATAATCTCAATCCTTCATAGATAACCACTATAAATATTTGTGTGTATGCTGACCTTGACATTCTGGTTTATAGACTGACTGACGTTCAACCACTGAGCCATCGGCTGGGCACTTTGTGGTTTCTTACAAAATAGTTGAGGCACATCAGGATCACTAATGATATTTTCTACAAATACTTCCTAGTTTTCAGCCTTGACATGTCTAAATAATTTTATCTCTCCCTTTTGAATTATGCCTCAGGAGTCTTAACCCCATATTATGGACGTCTTGGATGCTTGTTCAATGAATGGGTAACTGAAAAGAGAGGTGACAACAAAGCTATTTCTTGATTTTTTAAAAAAATATATTTTATTGATTTTTGTACAGAGAGGAAGAGAGATAGAGAGTCAGAAACATTGATGAGAGAGAGTCATCGATCAGCTGCCTCTTGCACACCCCCTACTGGGGATATGCCGCAACCAAGGTACATGCCCTTGACCGGAATCGAACCCGGGTCCCTTCAATCCCCAAGCCGACGCTCTATCCATTGAGCCAAACCGGTTTTGGCTATTTCTTGATTTTTTAAAACATGCTTCCTGAGCCAGAGAATGGATTCAGTACCATAACTAGGACTAGGTTCAACTGTTCATAATAGAAATTTCTAAAGCAATCGTGGTTAAACAAAATAGAATTTTTTTCTCTCTTATAAAAAAGATAGTCTAGTTCTGATGTGGCACCCCATGGTGTTCGGAGTCCAAATTCCTTCTCTCTTATTTCTCTAACATCAGCAGGTATCTTTCTACTTCATAGTCCAAAATGGCTGCCCAAGCTCCAATCACCCATTACACATTCAGTATAGAGCTGAAATAGGAAAAAGGCATCATTGTAAAGACACTTCCTAAGTTTGTATCACTCCTTCCACTTCCATCTCATTGGTCAAAACTTGGTTACCTGATCATAGCTAACTGCATATGTAAACTTTGTTCTGGGAAAGCATATTCCCAGATAAATACTGGAAATTCTACGAACTATAAAAAAGGGAAAATGGATATGGAGTGACAACTTGCCATCTTTGCCCCACTGAGATTTTCAGGAACACAGCTTGCAATTTTTGCCTTGCTAAGGACCCTAAACCCTAGGGGGAAAGAGGAAAGATGAACATGACTAGTCCTTAATTGGTCCCAACAACCCCATTCCAGGACCAAAATGTGTTAGAACATTTAGGTTAAGGCTCATATTTTTAAAAATCTGATGTCATCTGCTAGATGGAGTCTGGACAACATTTTCCCTCTCTTGCATAATCTCTGGGGGGAAAGCATCAGATTGAAAGGGTCAAGTTTCAGAATTTGATACTCGCAAATCTATTGGAGGCCTGCAGGAGGCAGGTCCTCAAGAACATGAAATTCTTGGAGTCTTACCTAATGACTCTGGGCATCCTGTGGCACCAAGAAGACAGGTTTGAGAGGACCCAGCTAAGAAATTCAGTTTCAGCCTTCCTGTTTATATAGTTTAGCAGAGAATATGGACAAGTAATCAGGCAATGACAGAGCCATGTGCTAAGAGCTAGTATAAAGTGGTAGGGTGGTACAAGATGGTATAGGTTCACAAAAGGAAGTCTACACTGGACTTGTGAGAAACATTGTACTTACTAGATTATTAGTTTATTACAAAGGAATACATTATTTGTCCTGTGACTGTGTTACTAGTATTTCACTCAGCATAATGTCTTCAAGTTTCATCCATGTTATAGCATGTGTCAGATCAATATTCAAAAATAAATTATATTTATACAGTTGCAATAAAAATCAAATGGAAATTTAAAATAGTTTATAACATAAAAAAGATTAAATACTTAGGGATATTTTTGACCAAAAAATATGCAAGTGTTTTACACCAAAAACTAGAAAGCATTGCTGAGAGAATTAAAACAGATTTAAATAAATGAGACCAGGCTCATGGTTCTCTCCAAATTGATCTATAGATTGAAGATGCTGAACCAGACAAGTTCCATAATGCACTTATGAGGATAAAACTATAGACAGTTTCACATTTATTCAGTATTCACAAGTAATTATTTAGCATCCATTAAGTGCCAGGCTTTGGAGGCAATGTCATGAACAAAACTAAAATTACACTTACAGCATTTCCAATGTTTTTGTGATTTTTTTTTTTTTCTCCACCACCAACCAATTCTCTGACACCAACTGAGTATCCTACAAGTCAGCTCAATTCTGATACTATCTACCTGGAAACTGTCAGATTATACAGGTAAAGTGCTCAGTCCTACAATTTCCCCTTCCCCCTCCATTTGATACTAATTGCAAGTCTAGGTTGTCACCTGTGCTTCTGACCTAGAGGCTATAGATTGGAGGTTCCAGTGATCCCCTCCTCAGGTTCAACTAATTCAATAGAGTGGCTCACAGGACTCAGAGAAACATTGTACTTACTAAATTATCAGTTTATTACAAAGAAATACAATATAGGGTCAGCCAGATACGAGAGATGCATAAGGGCATGGTGAAGGGGAAAGGGTACAGAGCATTCATGCCTTCCCTCTTTGAGCTCATCACAAATCCCCAACCTCAGTACCTTCCTATCTTCCCTTTCAGCTTTCTATTTCACTGAGAAAATAGAAGCACTCATAAGAGGAAATCCTGTTGATAATTCTCCCACCACCAAATCTGCCCATCTGCATCTGTATCCATGAACTCCACCTCCTCTTTTATTTCAGTGGATGAAGTGTACACACTCTTACAATCGATCCTTATGATTGTATTCTGGATTCCATCCCTTTCCTCAAGGTCTTTACTACTGCAACTGTCCTTTCTCTGCTGTGTTATCAGTTTTACCCTCTCTATTGTATCATTTTTATTAGAATACAAATATACTGTAATTTCTTTTATCATAAAAAAAAATCTGACCCTGGCCTGGTAACTCAGTTGGTTACAGTTCTCCTGACGTCAAGGCTGCAGTTGGATCCTCGGTCAGGGCACATACAGGAATCAACCAATGGGAATTCATAAACAAGTGCAACGACAAGTCCACATTTCTCTATGTCTCTCTCAGAGCAATTTTTAAAAATTCTGGATCCATTAGCCACATGCAAAGACAGCTTTACTTTTCTGTCCATCTTTAAAAAAGCAGAACTTCTTAAAACTGTTATCTATTCTTGCTTTCTCCTCTTCCACTCTCACCCTTTTATCCCACTCTTATCAAACTTCCACCACTATGCCAAAGCGGCCTGTTTCAACAACTTTCACGTTGCTAAATTCAATGGTCAGTTCTTAGTTCTCATCCTAGTTGACCTATCGATAGCATTTAACACAGAGGATCACTCCCTTCTTCTTGGAACATCTTCTTCCCTTGATTTTTCAGATCCTAACTCTCCTACTTTCCCACCTCTCTCACAGATTATTCATTCTCAATCTTCTTTGTTGGGTCTTCTTCATTTTCCGGATCTAAGCTACTGCAATGCTAGAAGAAAACAAATTTGAGTGAGGGTAAGTTATTCTCTTAGCATATTGCTGATTTAGATTTTCCAGTATTTAAAAACTCTGGCCCTAACTGGTTTGGCTCAGTGGATAGAGCATCGGCCTGCAGACTGAAGGGTCCCAGGTTCAATTCTAGTCAAGGACATGTACCTTGGTTGTTGGGCATATCCCCAGTAGAGAGTGTGCAGGAGGCAGCTGAATCCGTGTTTCTCTTTCATTGATGTTCCTAACTCACTCTTCCTCTCCTTCTCCCTTCCTCTCTGTAAAAAAATAAAAATTCTGATGTCTATATTTTCAAATAAAAATGATATGTACACCTGCTTTTTTTGTGGAAAACGTGGAGTCAGCATACCTGACCCCATTTTGAGATGTGGACTCCACCATGTCCAGGCAAACAAGCCAAAGCTTGGGCATTTAGTCAAGGGAGGTAACCAACAGGTGACAAGAACTTAGAGGACCAAGCGACCACCTAGGGTCCCCGCTTGATCAGGCACTCTGATACTATCCGAGGGTCAGGACATTGAGTTATACTCGCAGCCAGAGTGACCCCCTCACACACTTTTAAAAATGAACATGGCTCTTAAGGCGGCCCCAGAGATACCAACCCTGGAATTTACCCCAAGTGAGGTGGAGATACCTGAGGTTTTCCGGAAACTAGCTCCACGTGCCTTATGGGAAATGTAGTCTCGGATGGATGGCCTGCACCGCGGGGGAGCCTGGGAACTCTAAGTGGGCTGTTACTTCCGCCAACGCCTGGTAGGGAGGTAGCGAGCGTTCTGTCATTTTCGAGTCTGTGTAGCGGGAGTGGCAGTGGGTGTTGCTCGCCCAGGCTCTGGGAGATCTCTGTGAAGGGATGTAGGACTTGGAGCGAGCCGGAAAGGCTGCCGGGTGGGACTGCGGGACTGAGGGAGGGCGGGGAGAAAGGCGCTGGTTTATGGGCTCACTCAACCCAAGATGAACTCAACAACCCGCACCTGCGGTCACTTGGCGTGTGTGCTCCTCCCGGTTCGGAAGAAGTTCAGAGGAAGCCAGCGCAGGGTTCTGGCTGCCACTCAGTGGGCTCCTAGATCACGGCTGGGGCTGGGACCGGGGCAGGGGCAAGCTTAGTTTGCATTCCTGCCTTCGTGGGTGAAGGCACCGTTGGCCCTATCAGAGCCTGCAGTAGGGAATGTTAAACCAGTGCAGGGGATCTGGGAAGAAAGCATTTCTGGAGAAACTGTATTAAGGCATTCTCACAACCATCACCTGCTGGAGTAACTTATCTTCATTTTACGGCAGGCATTAACTAAGGCTGAGAGAGGTGAAGTTACTTGACTAGACTCATACAGCTTAGTAAGTGGAAGAGCTGAGATTTAAATCCAGATGAGTTTTCTCCAAATTGCATTCTTATTTTAGAAGATAGCACTTTGCAAAACACACACACACACACACACACACACACACACACACACACACTCACACTCACACACACACACACACACACAC